TTGGAGGAAGAAGGGTCCTGTTAAACGTCCCTGTCAGTTCTGTGAAGTTTGCAGCCTGAATAAACCTGTCGGTATTTCAGGAGGAGAAATCCTGCTGGGTGTGTAGAGCTCTAACTTGATTGCCTAATGAGACCTGAGGATAGTGAAAAGTTTACTATAAGCACTAAACTGGCTTAGATACAAGGATTATCAGTGGCAAGAGATATCAGTCTGGATCCAGCTGGTTCCTAGATTTGAGTTCTGACTAGCTAGTGACAGACTAGATATGCCATGGGTAGTTGACCTTTGCTTATATTCAGGTCTCTGCCATCTCCTTCACTAAAATGAACTTTACAGTGATCTGTCAGCACTTGGGTAGGTTAGGGTAGAGGCAGGGTCCAACCTCCCCAAAACCTTGGGCTGAGTAGAAATTTCATGGTCCCCTGGTCCATAGTCGGAAGGTCTTGTGTGTCCTAGATCTCCTCATTGGCGTTTTGTCCTTTTAGGTCTGTGCTTTTAATAGGACAGTCTCCAAAGTTGATGATTTCTTGGCCAACGAGGCAAAGGGAACCAAGGTGGTTGGTGCTCAGTCCTTGAAGGAGATGGTCTCCAAGCTGAAGAAGCCTCGGCGGATCGTACTGCTTGTGAAGGCTGGTCAAGCCGTTGACGATTTCATCGAAAAATTGGTGAGGCCCCCTCTGCTCCCAGCTGCTGCTAGTGTGACAACTTTCCTCATTCTTTCCTTTAGTTGTTTCACTTCTTTTTACCGAAGAGATTCCCTGCCCCACCTTCAGTTTCTGGATATGAACTGCTCGGTTCTGACCAAATAATTGCTTAAATGTCTCAGTGTTGGTTAACTTAATTGGTACTAATTAAGTAACAGCATATCCTCAGGTGGTAATAATTCCCTATATATAAAGTTTTGAGGACACCAGGAGACATTTCAACAAGGGTTCGTTAACAAGAGTAAAAACAATACAGCCAAGAGCCACTTTCTAAGAAATGTGTCACTAGATTTTGTCGTTGTGCAAATGTCACAGAGCGCACTTACACAAACCTGGATGGTCTAGCCTACTGCACACCTGGACTGGGTGGTCCAGCCTATGGTTCCCACGCTCCAAGCCTGTACAGCATGTCACTGTACAAAACCACATGAGATTAAATCAAGCACAAGAGAAAACGATGCGATCAAGAGACACGAGATGTACCATGACGTACTGTTTTATAGAGTATGGGGGGTGGTCTGCCTATTGTATAATCAAGAGACACGAGATGTAAACAGTTTTACAGCAAACTTTTTAACTTTTTTAATAAAGAGTACACTAACGATAAATAATATGACACAGTAAACACACAAACCAGTAACAGCCGTTTATCATCATTATCAAGTGTTATGTACTGTACATAATTATATGTGCTAGACTTTTATACGACTGGCGGCGCAGACTTGTTTACACCAGCATCACCACACACGTGAGTTAAGCTATGATGGCTCCCATGTCATTGGCGACAGGAATCTTTCAGCTCCATTTTAATCTTACGGGACCACCGTCATATGTGTGGTCGGTCAGCCATCGACTGAACCGTCATTATGTGGCGCGTGACTTGTAACCTTAGTGGACTTGTTTTGATTGTGTGCTATGACTGTTTAGTGCTATTCACAAATACACACTAGTGTCCACACTTATAAATAGACTTCATTTTCCTCAGTGTTCCTATAAAGCAACAATTCTCAAATCATTGTATAATTTAGTACGTGATGAAAGATCCCCTTAGGGAATCCTAGGAACGACACACTGGATACTTATTTTTGTACCAGTTTGTTGGCTTTAGCAAGTGTATCTTTTTTAGAAGAAAACAAATATGCATGTGGGCTGTGATGGCCATGAGGGGGCAGGTGGGTGCCCTAGCATGGAGTCCCCTAGAGGGCCTGGAAGAGGCAGGCCTCAGTTGCGTTCTGGTCCCTGATCATCACTGCGGCAGGGGGGGCTTCATGGAGGTGCTGCTCATGGTTCTTCACACTGTAGTCTGAGGCCTCATTGAGGCTCTCCAGCCCCCCACTCCCTAAGGCTAGGGGATAGTGGGCCCGTTCCTCTGTGGTCGTTGCCCGTCTGTCTCACACTTGTCTGTTGCCTGTTCTTTCCCCAACTTGTTCCTGCTGAAGGACTGATGGCCACTCGCCCACTGGGATGGCTGTGGCAGAGCAGCCGCCAATGGGGACAACAGCAGCATTGGTTGAGGCACTGTTGCTATAAGCTGTTTCTGGGGTGCCTCTAGGGCCCCTTCCCTCCACGTAACTCTGGGAAAAGAGTGCAGTGTACTAAGTGGGGAGGATTTTCCTCATCAGCAGTAAATGGAGACAACCTCACCACCTGTGTCCTGCAGCCTCGGGGTGCTTCCCCGCCCCACCCCCCAAAGCACATGGATGAAGGAGAACCAGTGGAAATATTTAGATCCTCAAAATCAGTTCTACAGTAACAGTTCTGAAAAAGCCAAGGCATTGGTCATTTAGAAGACACATTGTGAGAGACATAATGACAATAAGCAAGGACAAGGGAGGAACCCCCTGCTCTAGAGGGGTTGTGCTCACATGGGGGTTGTTTCTACAGGGAGAGGAATTTGTAACCAGTGTGCTACCATTTTAAAGAAAAAATGACGTAGAAAGGAATAACATGGTGATAAAGGACATAGCAAGCTTTTTATGTAGCAAGCTGCCCGTGATTCACTGTAGACAGAATGAACTGGAAAAAGGCAGCTTGTTCTTCAGCACAGGGGAATATTAAGTAATGTTTCCTGGAACCTTGTAGGGAAAGACCAAGTAGTAAATAATAAAGCCAGCCTGATTGGGGCACTGTGGGAAGACGGTCTTGTTCAAGGCCTGTTTGGGAATATAAACAAGGAAGATGGTCCATGTTGGAAATACAACATTTTCCAAGTAGGTTTTGTTTGTTGGAAGATCTCAGCCTAGTTAAGAAAAGTTATTTCAGTTGTGGAGAGCTCTAACTGGGTTTACTAGCCCTAAAAAGCTTTTCAGTAGGGTCTAGCTCTAGCCACAGAAAGGGTTATTGGAAATGAAATAATACATACTTTTAGATGGGGCATATTTGGAATAAATTCTTGTTTGTTTCAATTGGCTTAGGTGTGTTTTATTTTTGCCTTTCATGTCTTTGGCCCGCCTTAATGTTGGTATCTGGTTACAGGTACCATTGTTGGACACTGGTGACATCATCATCGATGGAGGAAATTCTGAATACAGGGATACCACAGTAAGTATTCTCCAGGCCAGACTCTTCCATTTTCTGAGCACATTCTAGAAAAAAGCATCAGCATTGCACATGGTGACAAAAGAGTGGACTGTCCTTCTGTAGTGCTGACTCAGGCGATTGGTACTGGTGTAGTAATTCTCAGCCTTTGTTTCTGCTAAGACATACTTGATGGATAAGGTTCTCATCAGTCACATAAAACTCAGAAGAAGGGCTACAGTTTAGATACTGCAGGCAGAGCATTTATGTGTAACCCTTCCCTTTCTCTGCCACCAGTCCATGATACGTCAGCGTATAACGTGGTTGAGAACCACTGTTTTAATGGTCTCTGCTGGGAGAAGTCCCTGGACAGTGAAGTGCTGATTGCTAGGAAGTCATACTTGTATTGAACCAACCCTTTCTTAATTGAGTCTTATTGTGCAGGGTCTTTTCTGGTAAAATAGGAGTGTATGTTTGGTTTTATTACATTCCTTTGGGGACAGAGTAGCTACCTTGAACTTTCATGGATTTTTTTTTTTTTCCTAACTCCCAAACTGAGGGAATTACATTTCTTTAACGACCAGGTTATTCATGGATCCTGGGGTTATATCATGTCAAATGTGGGATCCCCATACTTGTGACAACTTTTCTCATTCATTGGGAGAAGCTTACTTTATGGAAGCACGATGAAATTATTTCTCTCTCATGTAGAGACGATGTCGAGACCTCAAAGCCAAGGGAATCTTGTTTGTGGGGAGCGGAGTTAGTGGTGGAGAGGAAGGGGCACGGTATGGCCCATCGCTTATGCCAGGAGGGAACAAAGAAGCCTGGTGAGTACCAAAAGCACCACCCCCATTTCCGCACAGGGGAGCCTGAACTTGGAGAATGCGTGAGCTGGAAGCAGTTCTGCCACTCTGACCTCTGTGGTGGCTGAGCTTTGGAGATAGGGATGCTGGAAATACTTGGTGTACATTTTGTTGCTTTGACACAGTGTATGTGCACATTCCTCTTTTGCCTGTTTTCCCCCTGTTATTCCCTCCAAGATGGATACATGGGAGTTCTAAATAGGTTTAAAGGGTTCAGAGGCTTTCAGGAAGCAGTTTAGATGATGTCTGTGTACTGTCTGGATTTAGGAGTAAGGTCTGCTTTATTTAGTAAGAGTGAGTAATGGAAAAATCTGATGGGGCCTCTTTTGTCCCTGGGAATATGATGGAAAATTGTTATTTGACTTGGGAAAAAACAAATTTTACACCGTTCACCATACTACACACAAGAGGAAGGGTTGGCCATAGAAGGGGCGGTACTCTGGTATGAAAAAACGAGGGTGTATAAGACATAAGAGTGGGAGCGGTGAGCGGGATAGAGAATCAAAATGAAAAGGTGCAAGTAATTAATTATACCTCAGACTGAGGAGAAACAGCACTGCTGAGACTATAGAAAAGGAGAAAGTCAGAGAGAATGAGCAGAAGAGAAAGAAAAGGAAGGATCCTTTTGAGGGAGAAATGGGAAGGCAACATTCTTTTCTGAATGAGATTGATTTCCATACATTCTAGGATTACATTAGGCATTAAAGTAAGGAGTGATCAAACCTAGTCCCCAGAGGTAAAGAGTGTGCTAGGGAAGATGATTCTTTATATTACTTCTCTGATGAATAAGCCTGGGGCTTTTCTTCAGTCTGTTGAATCTAGAAGTAGAGGCCTTCTTGCTCCTCAGAAGCTTAAAAACATTTATCTTGTGGTACTTGCCCAGTGGCCTATTGGCAACGCAGATGATACCCATGAAAATATTTGCCATGCAGAGCTGCACCAGTTGCTCCTTAATTGACTTCTTGCTCATGGTCTGGCGGAAGTAGAAACGGCACTTTTACCCGAAGCACTCAGTAAGAGTCCAGCGAAGTTCTAAAGCTTGAGGAATGTCTAGTCCCCTGATCCTAAGTGTTAACTTTACAACCCGTCAGATTTTGTGTCTTTACCAAAAACGTTTTGTGAAGAAGCCTTTATTGGTCAATAGAGAGGAGAACAATATGGAGAGAGTGTCAGGAGTTAAATACACCCTCCTGAGGGGCTATGGGTGGAACGGAGAACAGCTGCTTTTTCTCTGAATAATAATGAACGGAGCTCTTGGAAACTGCACAGTTCTCTGTCCAGGATCATGTTGTTCTGGATAACATACATCCTGACTGATAAAATAGGGTCTCTAAGGAACTGTCGGGTTGCTTGCTGTTGGAACCACAGCTTTTTTTGGCTAGTGTGATAGAAATTTCTCCTGGTGCTTTGCTGATGCTCCCGCCCTCTTGGTCTGTCTTCTCAGCTCAGGTAGCCTGTGGCCTCTGGCTGGTCTGCCTTGAGCCTAAGCACTGCATTACTTTTTTGCGGGCACATCCCCCCTCCTCTCTATTAGAAAGAAGGAAAATCAGGGTGGGGGTGTCCTTGAGTATTTAATTGAGATCTCAGCAGCTAAACTACGTGGTTCCTTTCCACAGGCCCCACATCAAGACAATCTTCCAGGGCATCGCGGCCAAAGTAGGAACTGGAGAACCCTGCTGTGACTGGGCAAGTGCTGGACCCCTCTTCAAAGCCAGTTGGCAACATGGGCGTGGATGTGACCAAGTGCACAGGGCCACTTAGGTCCTAGCGGGTGGTTTTGTGACATAAGTTTCTTGGTCTTTTAAGTCGCTACCACAGCTGATGCATAAAATGCATGCCTATTGTGCATGTCATGTATCTTAATTGACTACTCATAGCCTTGATGTTGATATTAAAAGCAGCCCTCAAATCATCTGAGAGACAGATTCCTTAAAACGGAACAGGAAGGATGAGGTGAAGTAAGATGATTTTAAGCCAGGTTTCTTCATGGCTCAGGAAAGGATGTCACAATCAAAAGTGGGGTTCGCTTGCCTTGGTAGGTATTCTGCGCTCCAATGGAGGAAGTGGTGGCCTTCTGCCCTGATGGTCCAGGTGGCCTAGGCGTGCTCACACATACCTCCCCTTGCTGTGTTTTGTGTTGCTTTTAAAATGGAGTTTATCCCTATTGCAGCCTCCATCCATGTCATGGAGGGGAAAACCCTGGTCTGGGGAGACCTGAGTTGTAACTCTGGCTCCCCATTCACTGACTGGGTGATGGTAGGCAAGTCCCTTTCCCCACGTGGACTTCAGTGTTCTTACCTGTAAACTATGGGGGTTGGACTGGATGGTCTCCAAGATCTCCTTAGCTCCCAATCTCCATTCATGTCATATCAGCACTATTTTTACTATATTAGATTTGTTCTACATGAGATAAAAGGTAGAGAAGAAACAAGGACTAAAACATATGAGGAATGAGGGATGTCCTCCCTCCTGGCTCTGACAGCGCCTGGTGACTTGAACAACTAATCTGGTCCTCACATTTTAGCCAGTGGTCGTTGAATTTAATCATATTCCATCCACTTAGGGTAGAGAGAGGCCGGTGCTGTTAGTTAGCATTGGGTAATTTTCTCGTTAGTATGAAGGCTTGGGAAGGGAACTTGCATTCCTGACAGTGGAGTACATTCAGTCAGAGTACAGTGACGGTAACTTCCTTTTTAGATATACTTGGAACAAGATCATGAAGGAAAAACCCAGTACTCTCCCTTAACATATCTTGATCAAGTCAGGCTGACTCTATAACCTTAAGGCTTAGTCTCAGGGTATTGAAAAAGCTGGTATCCATAAGAAAAGCAGGCACTCCTTACTTCATTTTTGAAGTTACAGGAAGGGCGGGGTGAAGTAAGAAGTTATTATCCATGTTACTTCATGGCCGAAGAAAGTGTCAAAATCAGAGGTGGTAGGTCAGCAGTGGAAACAAACAAAGGAAGTCTCTGATGTAAATGTCCATAGTCGCAATCTAAGTAGAGAGGCTGCTCAGATCAACCAGACACCTGGTCCACCAGGCAGGTCTATCCCTGTCATGGAGATGGGTGCATGTGACGGTGCCTTTAAATATTTGACCCCTGTCTTTCCCTTTGTTCTGATTCCTTGCCCACTAAAGAATTTTCAGATAATTGGATTTCTCATGTAGCTTGTCTGTAAGGACAGAAGCTGTTGATCGGACTGACATTTGTAACCACTAAGATCCGTAAAGTTCTCATCATAAATTCATAAACTGTATTCTGACTTGATACATCTTGCCACTTTTATCATAAATCATTATCTTGTCAAGTATGAGCCCCCAGCAACTTCTGGGCTTATGAGGTTGAGAGCCAGACCTGGGATCTGAGGTTTTATATCTCAGTAACCACTAGAAATAACTATAGTACATTTATATTTGTTTTAAAGTACAAGTGATTTAATTAGCCAACTTATTGTATCCTCCAGTTGGTAGGAAAGTGGTAACTTCAGGAAAAAGAAGACTCCTTTTCCTTGTGAGTGGGGAATGGGAGCTGCTCTTAGCAACAATGACAGAGTGGGAGATGCAGGCCCAGGAGCTCTAGGTTCTTATAGAGAATTGGGGGCTTCAGTCCTTACAGAGGAATGGATTCAGAGTTAATTTATAATACTATTGGACTAGACGGAAGCTTGTGTTGAATTGTCATATGATGATTTTTTT